TACTGTGTCTCATTTTGCAGAGGGACCTCCCATTATTAGGCTGTGCACCCAGTGTTTCTTTCTTAAAAATAAGTGATGGATTAATGAAAGATAATACTATTGCATTTACCCATACTTTGAACACCTTGTGACTAATAGCACATATCTGTAGGGCAGATGGTTGGGACGGAAGAAGAGACTAAGAAAAGGCTGCTAAGAGTCACTCTCAGGAAGGAATGAATGTGCTTAGTCTCATTAGCACTACTTATTAATTGAGTTCCTTCCCAGCTCTCCATCTGCCCTCAGGTCCTCTTACTAGCCAGTCTTTCTAAGCAAAACATTTTTTTTTTTTTAAAGTAAGCATCAGCTGATACCTTTGATTCACTCTAATCCAGCTTCTATATATCATAAAGGAAAAAAAAAATCTCTTTAGGTTGACATTGTTGTAACACTGACAATGACTTTCAAAATAGTGTGTAATCACATGAGATTATAGTTTGGATCACGTTATCAGAACATCTGGGATCTATACTCAGCTCTGTCATGTGACTCAGTGCGTGACGTGGAAAAGTCACTGCCTTTCTGGGCTTTTGCTTATCTTAAATAAGTAAATGAAACAAAATTCAGAGTGGAGGTTGAGAAATACACTGGGATTAGTGATCCTTTCAAGAAATGTACCAGATACATACCAGATGAAGGTATTCTTTATTTTGTCAGGAAGATGATGAACAGTTCCAACTCATCTGCTTATGCCTGCCTCAAGCTACCCAGCAGTCTTCCCAACTGGGCAAAGGGTTCCTTCAGTCATAAATATTGGGAGGAGAATCCAGGAAGGCATAACTGGAGCTTGGCTCCATACCTGTTTTTTTCTTTTGTTCAACTGCCTGGCAGCAGATAGAGGGAAAAAGGAAGAAAAGCTGGGCTTACATGGCTTCTCTTATGCCTCTGGCCCAAGAAAATGACCAAGAGCAGGAAATCGTAGCAAAAGTAAGCCAGATTCACATTCCTATGGCTTCTAAGTCCCTGCTTAGAGGCAAGAAAGCACTAGCCCCAAAACCTTTCTAGGGTTATTTAATTTAAATTACAAGGCTATAGGAGGAAAATTTATAATCACATTCCTGTGGATCTCAGGTATCAGGAGTGGAGTTGTTTCTTCTAAGGGGTCTAGGGACTGGGTAGAAAGGTACCTCTGTTGGGAACAAACAGTTTACATAGGATGTGTAGGTATCTATTCTAAAACAATAAAAAGTAACTTCTGGAAGAGGGCAACAGTGTGCAGACAATGTACACTTTATTCTTTTAGTGATTAAGTTAGTCTAAATACATGGTGAAGCTGATGCTCTGAGAGCAAACACTAGAAAAAGTGAAAAAAGCTCTACAGTATATGTGAAACTTCTGAGAAAGATGAAAGTCAACGCTTGAGGACGCAGACACAGATTTTGCATTAATCTCTTGGAATTAATTAGAATCTCAAATCTCATTGTTTTACTGGGATACTATTGCCTAATAGAGGCTCCCATGATCTTAGTATGCACCCAGATAGAGAATAAAACACACTTGTGCATGCAAGCAGATACACATGCGTGCATGCACACACTCACACTCTTATACCTCACTCATCCGGGAAGTCAGCACACAAAGGGCATGTGTGCTTACAAACACACTCAGGTCAAAGTACAGACTGGTAGAAGGCAAGTGGCAGAGGCTCCCAACAGGGCAGATAATTACAATCAAAGCATCAACTCACAGACTCTGAGGAGATTTTCTTCAAAAGCTCAGCCCCTGGGGTTCCAACGAGTCTTAAAATGAGCTTCAACTGATCAATATCTAATGGTGGACCATAAAGGAAAATGTTGGGACAAAATAAAAATGAAAAACAAACAATGACAAACAAAACAAAAACAAACAAAACATTTAGAGAACAGAAATGAAAAACCCCAAACCTAGCCAACACAGTGAATTCCTCTAGGTCAAGGCTCCTGCAGGATGATCACTTCATGGACATGCTCCTCCTGTACAAAGATTCAAAATGCTACCACATATATATCCACTTTATATTTATTTTGTGCATCTGTCAACAGCATGTATCACTGAAGTGAGAGGCAGCATTAGCTGGGTTCTTAGCTGAGAAAGACAGCAGGTGAAAACACAAGAGCTTCACTCAGTCAATACCACCCTCCTCATCTGCCATCAAAGCATCAGTAACCAGTCCAGCAAAGAGCACTGGTAATTAGAGGGCCACAGATAAGAGAAAAGCAGCAAAGGCTGGGCGTGATGGCTCATGCCTGTAATCTCAGCACTTTGGGAGGCTGGGGCAGGCAGATCACCTGAGGTCAGGAGTTTGAGACCAGCCTGGCCAACATGGTGAAACCCCGTCTCTATTAAAAATACAAAAATTAGGCCAGGCACGGTGGCTCATGCCTGTAATCCCAGCACTTTAGGAGGCTGAAACAGGTGGACCACAAGGTCAGGAGTTCAAGACCAGCCTGGCAGGAGGCTGAAACCCCATCTCTACTAAAAATACAAAAATTAGCCAGGCCTCGTGGCAGGCACTGTAATCCCAGATACTCAGGAGGCTGAGGCAGGATAACACTTGAACCCGGGAGATGGAGGTTGCCATGAGCCGAGATCAGGCCATTGCACTCCAGTCTGGGCAACAAGAGTGAAACTCCGTCTCAGGAAAAAAAAAAAAAAAAAAAAAAAGCAGCAGAGCACAGGAGCTAAGGATGTACAAGTTTATTTATGAATATTCTTCCAAGTATGACCTAAAGAGCTTGTGATATGACAGTGGGAGGCCTGTGAGACCCCAAAGCCTGACCACTGGAGCACACCCTCTGGAAAGCCTCGCCTCTCACACTGGCTATAGTAGGCAGAGCACTGTGAGTGACAGTCGCCAGCAGAGGGTGCTCTCCCACTGCATGTTCTTTCAGGAGCTCCATAAGAACGCAAACACACAGGCGGTTTCAACTTTATATTGATGCAAACGAACTCACAATGCTTAACAAACTTCACACATCCCAAAGGCTCTAAATATAGGCCACAATGCCAAAACTTTTATTCTGGTAGCCAAAACTTTTATTCTGGTAGCCAACACTTCAATGTATGCTCGGAAGGTATGTGCATGTGTTAACCAGAAGACAAAAATTTGTTTGTTCTCTTTTAGTCTTACCTAAAAAGGAAATTAAAAAGAGGGGAAAACATGTTATAAAATAGCTTTTAATATTTCCTCTGAAAATGTGAGCCGTTTATCCATGTCTATACTGACTGACATTCCTGGCAGGAAGAAGGGGAGGATGACTGTGTTCTGACCCATCAGGTTTTTCACATGACTAAATCCTCTTGGCTTCAGGTCTCAGCTTCAACTTCACCTCCTCAAGGAGGCCTCCCCTCAACACTCTATGTATGTAACCCCCTACCCTCCAATTCTGTCTCTCAGCACCACACTTGATAACATCATTGTGCTTATCACAGCCTAGAATTACTTTATTTGCTTACTGTCTGCCCCCGGTATTGGTCTACAGATCTATGAGGGCAGGGGCCACTCTGCCTGTTCACCACTTATCCCCAGCCTAACATCTGGTACATGACGGGCAGTCAAAATATTTGAGGAAAAGGTAGAGCAGGATGAAAGAATTTTTTAATTATGATTATACATATAAAGGCAACATAGTGCTTAAAAACAACAGTCTCTGTAAGCCATAGGTACCTACGTTATAGGAATTATTTATGCAGTAATTTGACACCTTGTCTTTTCTTTTAGATATGAAATTAGCTTAAATGGAAGGAAATTCTGGACTGGAGTCAGCGGACCACAACCTCTGCCTGTTTTTTATATAAAGTTTTATTAGAACACAGCGATGCCCATTCATTTATGTACAGTCTATAGATGTTTCCACATTACAACAAGCACAGTTATCATATGGTTCCCAAGCCTAAAATACTTACTACCTGGCCCTTTCAGAAAAGTTGTGCTAAACCCCATCCTAGACCCAAACAACTTGTGTTCTTTAGCAAGCAAAGATAAACTAGAAACAAATCCACTCTCATAAGTTATTTCTAAATTAAGAATAGTAGGGAATTTTGTTATCTGAAAATGGCAAAAATCAGTGTGTTGTAAAGGTTAAGATTTTAATACTGACTTCTCAGTTCAAGGTGTTGACAAGAAAAAAATTTTAAAGCATAAGTTCATGGGGACAGAACAGGTGTGCGGGTAGGATGGATGCTGTCTTGCTCTAAAATAATCAGATTAATTACAATAGAAATTAGTCAAAAATATTCTTGCTGATTTAAAATGACTCGATTTATAAAAATTTGGTTCCCTCACACTAACACTCTTCAGGAATATATTTAACTGGGTAGCCACCACACGATAAAGTGAAACACATATGAGAAAAACCTTGACTACTTCAAATCTCAAACAGATGGCTTTAAAATATATTTGCATCAAAAGTAATCTCTAAAATGAAGCTTTTGATATCGGTATTCTTGTTTAAGAGACTTCTGACTACTTACAATGACAGTCAATTTTTATACTCTAAGGAAGACAGAAGGTTCTTTGAGCTGTGAATTTCTCAGCTACCTGAACTTCACTCCAACCTACCTGTAAGAGTATGCAACTTCCATTAGTCACAGTGGCTCATTACGACAATGAGCTGGGAAACCCTCTTTCTCCCACATCTGCTGGCATGAAACAGAATCAGGCCTGAAGAATCAAGCCCCAATTCCGCAGCCTCACACTCACCGCTGTCTGTGATTTGTCATCAAGATTCTTTTCTGACTTTGGCTCAAACTATTATTCCTTAATGCACTCAATGCTTCAACTCACACTAGATATTCCAGGCACTTCTAAGCTTCCAAGTTCTTATTTATGTAACTCAGAAACCAGAATACTCCCCTCTTCTGTCCTTCCAAGCCTTTTCTATTCCTGTTTACTCTTTAAAGTCCTATTCAAAGAACTCTGCAATGAAGTCTTCTTGGATATCCTGAGGTAGAATTAAGTTTCTACTTTTTTTCAATAGCTTATCTATATTCTAGTGTATTTATCACTCTATCTTATTTTATAATCAGAGACAGTTGTTCAAGTAACTACTGTAACTCTCTTTCCACTGAGTCTGATCATTCCGGTTTAAAGGACAGGTACCATCCTATCCCCAGAACCTTTCCACAGAGTGGCTTGATAAATACTGGTTGACTTGAAAAGATGAGCCATGGCACATCCTTCCAGCACCTCAGGAGGTGGGGTGTCTCAAGCCGTGGCACCGGCATCTGCTGACACTGCTGCCTCCAGCAGTTCTTTTGTCCTCTTCCCTTCTTCACCCCTATATCTTGGGGGTGAACTCTCCTGAGGGCTGTAAAGACTCCCCTGAAAAGGGAGAGCCACGAATCAGCAGAATCTTCTCAGAATGCCACAGTATATTATTTCAGAGGAGTTAATTTCAGAAGGAAAATGGGTCAAGCCTGAACAAACAACATACATGGATCCTATTGGTAAAACTAGAACTTGGGACTCAGTGAAATGTACAACCAGAAAAGAACAGACTGCTGATGGTGTAGTGGTCATCCCCATGCTGCAGAGAACACTTCACTACGAGCATATGGTTCTGGTCAAACAGTCCTGACCACCAATGGGTAGTTACTGCATAGGGTTCCCTGCAGGTCTCACAGATGATGATGAAACCCCAGAAGCAGCTGCTCTTCGGGAGCTTGAGGAAGAAACTGGCTACAAAGGGGACAACGCTGAATGTTCTCTGGTGGTCTGTATGGACACAGGTGTGTCAAACTGTACCACACCCATCATGACAATAACCGTTAACTGAGATGATGCAGAAAACGCAAGGCCCAAGCCAAAGGCAGGGGATGGAGAATTTGCGGAAGTCAGTTTTTTTAACCCCGGAAAGACCTATGGCACAGACTTGATTCTCTGGTAGCGGAAGAACAGCTTACAGTGGACACCAGAGTCTATTCCTAGACTCTAGCACTGAAACATGCAAACGCAAAGCCATTTGAAATGCCCTTCCTGAAATTTTAAGGCCAAAGACGACATTGGCCTTTTTTATAAATGAGGCCACCAGGCCTTCTTCACAGACTTTGTATTCACTTAGTTTAACGTTGATTTGAAATTAGCTTTTTCATAAAAGCACAGAACACACACACACAAAAGAAAAGATGAGCCATATTATGCTTTTCAACTCAGCTCTACCCTGCTGCCCTGCCCTCAAAACCCAGAATGACCATACTCCATGGAAAAATACACAGTGTAAAATAAAAATCTTAGTAGCTTTTCATTTGCATGAAAGAAGTTAAAACATGCAAACCTCTGAAGAAATCACCATGGGTTCTTCAAAAGCTGGCAAATCCACTGAAATACAGGCCAGTCTTCCAACAGTACCAGCTACTGTAAGGCCACTGATTTGTCCAGACAGTTAAGACCAGAAGGAGCTTCACGTAGCCATATAGGCAGAGCAAAGCAAAACTCACCACATCATGACAATCAGTTATTTCCACAGTGAGCTATCCTTTATAATAGGTTTAGCCCTTGTTCCCTTAGAAAATATTTTTACTATTAGTTTAAAATGTGTTTTAATTGTAATGATCACAATGTCAAAATTTAAATCATAAATCTCCTGAATCTAAAATAAATGAAGAAAAGGACAACTTAGGCCTAAAATTACTCGTTTTGAGATGGACTCTCGCTCTGTCACCCAGGCTGGAGTGCAATGGTGCAGTCTTGGCTCACTACAACCTCTGCCTCCTGGGTTCAAGTGATTCTCCTCCCTCAGTCTCCTGAGTACCTGGGATTACAGGTGCCCACCACCATGCCCAGCTAATTTTTGTATTTTTAGTAGAGATGAGGTTTCACCGTGTTTACCAGGCTGGTCTTGAACTCCTAACCTCGTGATCCCCCCATCTCAGTCTCCCAAAGTGCTGAGATTACAGGTGTGAGCCACCGCACCTGGCCCAGATTACTGTTTAGGCCAAGTCATTTTTAACAGAGCAAAAGTCAGTCAGAATGAACAAGTAAGGGGGGGGAAAAAAAACCTAAGTGTAACAGGATAATTCGAGGGAAAGTAAAAGAGGGATATTCTAGTCAGTTCTAAGTGGTCCAGGAAACTCCTAGAAAACCTCCACAAGACAGAAAGTTGAAGATGAATAAAAGGACCAGTTGCAGACATATCTGCCATGAGCAGCAATTTTCAATGAAATAAATCCACACAGGGCAAAGTGGAGCACTAATCTTTGGGAAGGTAGGAAATCTTCCTGGTGACAGACAGGATAGACAAAAGTAAGACTTAGCCTAGCTTCTTACCTTCCAGGTTGTCAAAATAGCCATTTTCACTGTAACACAAAGAAAATGTCTCAAGGTACCCTTATGGACAAATCTGAGGATTCTACTCTTTTTTGAGAAAATGTATTCTCAAGATAGAAAGGAAAGGGCAAATAATCTAATAAAATATTTTTCTTCTTCAGTATTGATTAGGACACTTGCTTTTAGTGTCTCAAGTGAAACTGCTTTTTAAAAATGAGAGAATATTTGGCAGAGCACAGTGGCTTACTCCTGTAATCCCAGCACTTGAGGAGGCCAAGGTGGGCAAATCACTTGAGGTCTAGAGTTTGAGACCAGCCTGGCCAACACAGTAAAACCCAGTCTCTACCAAAAATACATAAAAATTAGTCAGGTATGGTGGCATGTGCCTGTAATCCCAGCTACTTAGGAGGCTGAGGCAGGAGAATTGCTTGAGCCCAGGAGGTGGAGGTTGCAGTGAGTCGAGACTGCACCACTGTACTCCAGCCTGGGTGACAGGGCAAGACTCCATCTCAAAAAACAAAAAAATAAAAAAGAATATTTGAAACCAATGACTGAAAGTGATGGGCAGATGTGAGAGAAGGATCTCTAGAAGCTTTAGCTCTATTGCTGGTGTTTTAACTCACAAGCAAGCAGGACAGTATGAACAGAGGTGTTCATTATACTATTCTTTGTCTAGTAGTATGTCTGAAGTATTTCAAAACATGTTTGCAAAAGACCAAAAGAAGAAATGAAAAAAAGCAGAATTAAGAAGCAAATTTAATACACTAAGAAAATTCCTGTAGACCAGGGGAGCAGCTGATAGCAAGTAGATTTTAATTCAGCTCCATTAACCCATAATATCTTAAGAGTACCATTTCTGTTAAAATGAAAGAAGGTTTAACACATTAAGGAAATTCACTTGATTATGTAGAAATAGGCAACAGCAGCAAGCCAAGGCTGTGATCTCTGGTAGGAAAACAATATTTGATGACCAGCAGGTCTATGAAACTTTCTCTCTTCCTTAAGCTGCATAGTGTTGAGTGTCGGTAGCAGAATTTTCTTAGTGGCTCATTCATTTCAAGATAGACCTATGGTACTTGAAATAGGTACTATACCTGAAAGAGACACTCTGTATCCTCCCTCCTTTCTAGTACAAAGTTCTGTCAGCTGTGTCCCCATGATATCCCTAGTCAACTAAGCTTTTAAGAAAGGGCTTCATTCTTTAGAAAATAGTAATAATATTATTAGGCTAGATGGAAGGGTTCTGCAAAATCACAAACAAGAATAATTTTTCATTTTTTTCTTTGAGATGGAGTCTTACTCTGTGGCCCAGGCTGGAGTGCGGTATTACGATCTTAGCTCACTGCAACCTTCACCTCCCAGGTTCCAGTGATTCTCCTGCCTCAGCCTCCTGAGTAGCTGGGATTATAGGCTAATTTTTGCATTTTTAGTAGAGTTGGGGTTTCACCATGTTGACCAGGCTGGTCTCAAACCTCTGACCTCAGGTGATTCACCCGCCTCAGCCTCCAAAAGTGTTGAGATTACAGGCATGAGCCACTGTGCCCGGCAAGAATAATTTCTAATCTGATAACATATCATTGGCTTTAAGACAAAAATCCTTATGTCTTATATTTTTTTAAACTAAAGTTCTGGGATCCATGTGCAGGATGTGCAGGTTTGTTACATAGGTAAACATGTGCCATGGTGGTTTGCTGCACCTATCAACCAGTCACCTAGGTGTTAAGCCCTCCACGCATTAGTTATTTATCCTGATGTTCTCCCTCTGCCTGCCCCTGCCCCCCACCAACAGGCCCCAGTGTGTGTTGTTCTCCTCCATGTGTCCATGTGTTCTTATTGTTCAGCTCTCACTTATGAGAACATGCAATGTTTGGCTTTCTGAGGAAAATGGCTTCGAGCTCCATCCTTGTCCCTGCAAAGGACATAACCTCATTCCTTTTTATGGCTGTATAGTATTCCATATTGTATATGTACCACATTTTCTTTAATCAGTCTATCACTGATGGGCATTTGGGTTGATTCCATGTCTTTGCTATTGTGAATACTGCTGCAATCAACATACACATGCATATAATCTTTATAATAGAATGATTTATATCCTTTGGGTATATACCCAGTAATGGGATTGCTGGCTCAAATGGTATTTCTGGTTCCAAGTCTTTGAGAATTTCACCAAACTGTCTTCTACAATGGTTGAACTAATTTACATTCCCACCAACAGTGTAAAAATGTTCCTATTTCTCTACAGCCTCACCAGCATCTGTTGTTTCTTGACTTTTTAATAAGCACCATTTTGACTGGCACAAGAGTATCTCATTGTGGTTTTGATTTGTATTTCTCTAATGGTCCTGTTGTAATGGTCATTACAACCATCTGTAATGGTCAGTGATGTTGAGCCTTTTTTCATGTTTCTTGGCCACATAAATGTCTACCAGTTTGAGAAGTGTCTGTTCATGTCCTTTGTCAACTTTTTAATGGAGGTTTTCTTGTAAATTTGCTTAAGTTTCTTGTAGATTCTGGATAATAGATCTTTGTCAGATGGATAGATTACAAAAATTTTCTCCCATTCTGTAGGTTGTCTTGTTCACTCTGATGATAGTTTCTTTTGCTGAGCAGAAGCCCATTTGTCAATTTTTGCTTTGTTGCCATTGCTTTTGACATTTTCATCAGGAAATCTTTTCCCATGCCTATGTCTTGAATGATATTGCCCAGATTTTCTTCTAGTGTTTTTATAGTTTTGAGTTTTACATTTAAGACTTTAATCCATCTTGAGTTAATTTTTGTATAAAGTGTAAGGAACGGGTCCAGTTTCAAGTTTCTGCATATGGCTAGCCAGTTCTCCCAACACCATTTAATAAATAGGGAATCCTTTCCCCATTGCTTGTTTCTGTCATGTTTGTTGAAGATCAGACGGTTGTGGATATGCAGTTTTATTTCTGAGATCTCTATTCTGTTCCTGTGCTAGCTTTGGGGCTTGTTTGCCTTGATTCTCTAGTTCTTTTAGTTTTGATGTTAGAGCATCAGTCTGAGATCTTTCTAGTTTTTTGATGTGGACATTTAGTACTAAAAATTTCCCTCTTAACACTGCTTTAGCTGTCTCCAAAAGATTCTAGTATGTTGTCTCTTTGTTCTCATTGGTTTCAAAGGTTGTCCAATTTCCATGTAGTTGTGTGGTTTTGAGTGAGTTTCTTGAGTTCTAATTTGATTGTGCTGTGGTGTGAGAGACTGTTATAATTTCAGTTCTTCTGCAGTTTCTGAGGAGTATTTTCCTTCCAATTATGTGATCAATTTTGGCCTAAGTGTGATGTGCTGCCAAGAAGACTGTATACTCTGTTGTTTCTGGGTGGAGAGTTCTGTAGATCTCTATCAGGTGCAGAGCTGAGTTCAAGTCCTGTATATCCTTGTTAATTTTCTGTGTCAATGATCTGTCTAATACTGACAGTGGGGTGTTAAAGTCTCCCACTATTATTGTGTGGGAGTCTAAGTCTCTTTGTACGTAACTAAGAAGTTGATTTATGAATCTGGGTGCTCCTGTATTGAGCATATATATTTAGGATAGTCAGCTTTTCTTGATGAATTGAACCCTTTACCGCTATGTAGTGCCCCTGTCTTTTTTGATCTTTGCTGGTTCAAAGTCTGTTTTGTCATAAAACAGACTTGCAACCCCTGCTTTTTTTCTGCTTTCCATTTGCTTGGTAAATTTTCCTCCATCCCTTATTTTGGGC